GGTTGCAAGATTATGAGATGTTAATTATTTAGCAAATCTTTACTGAGCACCAACAAAGTACTGTGTGAAATAGAGAAGCATAAGAACCACTGCAAAGGAAGACAAAATACATTCCTGAAAAAAAAAAGCTACAATAAATGATGCTGTGTAATTAGGTATCATACCATCTACAGAGTTCAGAAGTAAAGCAGAGATGCAGGCTAAACTTTTCTTTTTTTCGGTAGTGAATTAGCCACTTGAAAAGTATTTCAGTAGTAGAAAGCATGAAACATAAAATACATATTATTTCTATTACTGCCCCCCTTTTCCAAGTTTCTAGCTTTTGTAAAAAATTATTGTTTTGTTTTTAGTCAAATGAACAATGTAAAATATGCAATATAATCTTGTTTGGAAAAGTTCAAGGGAGAAGGAAAATATTTACAGTAAAACTTAAAATCCTTCAAAATTTCCAATTCTCCCCCCAATCTCATTTCTCATCCCGGCAGCAAGCACTGCTGTCTACTTGCTGTGTTTCCTTCCAGAACAATTCATGTAAATATAGAACTGTGCTGTGATTTTATATAAATGGATACGTGGGGGTTTTGTACTTTTTTTTTTTTACTCAATACCATATTTTGGAAATTTTTCTGTTAGTACATAGATCATAGACTACATAGAGTTAAAACTCATTCTTATGAACTAGAGTTCCACAGTAGGGCTATAACTAGGCTATTTCCATGTGTCCATTTTAAAGGTCCAGAAGATGAGAGCCACTAAGGTCTTACCTGATTTATATAAACAAGCTAACGGGCAAAAACCACCCCAACTCGGGGCTTAACAAACAGACATCTTATTTAAACCTCTCACTGACAGCCCCTCACTCAGACCCGAGTCCATTTGCAAACCCAGACCCTCCTGAATGAAAGGAATGCTGGAAACCTTTGAGGAGTGATAAGTGATAATACCACAAGTGTGTATTGTGACCTTTACTCCTAGCCTTACCCAAAGGGACCAGTGATCGTCTACAGAAAGTCTGCACAGACCAAAAGAAAATTCCAGTTCTCTGAGATTACTGAACCTTGGCTATGAACTACACCAACTCCTGGAGATCCAGAATGCCACTGTGGTTCACTGGTTAGAGCAGGGCTCTATAGAGGGGAGAGGTGGTCAAAGAAACTGTAATCTGAATCTACCTTTCAGTAAGTTTAGTGTGACCCTAAACTCTTCCTGTAATTATTTCTCCAAATCTTGAGTGTATAGTTGAAAGAGATACACTCAGGTACTGGCAAAATTTTCACATCGGTTTCCTGACCTTTAGAACAAAAGTGACTAGTCCTGGCCAGGTAGCTCAGTTGGTTATAGCATTGTCCTGACACACCAAGGTTGCAGGTTCCATCCCTGGTCAGGGCACATACTAGAAGCAACCAATAAATACATAAAAAAGTAGAACAATAACAACAACAAAAAAAAATAGAAGAAGACTGATTATGATAGAAAAGACTAAGTGGAAACCCACAGAGCTTTATATCCCCTTTCCCAAATCAAAAGAGTAAAACAGAAGCTATATAAATTCCTTGGCTAATGACTATAGTAAGTGTCACCATCAAAGATTTGAAATATGCATTTAACCTGCCAGCTTGGTTAGGGGTGAAAATGGATGGATCTTAAAGAATGACTGAGGATTATAAACTCTATCAGGTAATATATCCAACTGCCAATGCTTCTCCAGGTGTGGTCTCTTTTGAGGAACATACCAATGGATGCACTGGCATGGAGCCACTGCCTGGACAAATGCAACCTCCCCCTGACACACCATCTATTTAATAGATAAAACATACCAGAATTAATTTGCTTTCACCTGGAAGCAACTGTTGAACATCAGCTTGCCTTAGTGTTGATATAACTGTAAGGCTCTTTGCCACTCTTTGGTAAGCAGAGATCAAGGTCATCTTGCTAGCCCACAGGCTATCATAGTGGCCCATCCGGTTGGTGAGCTGCCTTGTAGCCCTCCATTATTAAGTGGAGAAGAGAGAGAGAGAGAGGGTGTACACGTGTGATTCATCTCTCTATATCCTTCTTGGTTATCATAAGGAGCCAAAAGTCTATCAAACACATTTCTCAGACTCTCTTGCCAGGTAGGTTCCAGTTAGGCTTTGAAAATGAAAGACAGAAGATGGGAGAAGGTATATTTTGTTTGTACGGGGTTCCCCCCCGCCTCCTATCTCTGGCTTACTTCCCGACAGCAGTAGCTGTGGACAAGAGTGGGCCCCTGGGTTCCTGTGTGGTTCTAGAGGTGGCAATAGCAGCTGGTGCCCTGGAAATCAAGCAAGAAGTGATCCTGGACTCTGGCTGTGGCGGGCGCACCAAAAGAAGGATGATATCGGGTCTCGGGGGTCATGCAATGTCATGGTGGTGGTACTACCAATGGCAGCATCATCAGCAACACGTACTCCAGCTGGCTCATCTGTACAATGATCACAGGCTCTGTGTAACACCATTTATCAGTTATCTATTACCATGTAACACACTACTCTCAAACTGAGTGGCTTAAAACAACAAGCATTTGTAATCTTACAGCTTTTGGTCAGGAATCTGAGCATGGTTTGCCTGGGCACCTCACACAGCAGCTGGCTTCCCTCACAATGAATGAGCAAGAGTGTGAGAGAGGGTGCCCAATAGGAAGCCACAAAGCTTTGTGTTCTGAAGTGATATCCTATCACTTTTGTTGTATTCTGTTCATTGGAATCAAGTTACTAGGTCCAGCCCACAATGAAGTTAATATTTACTGAGTGCTTATTATGTGCCAGATCGACACAGTGTGCCTCCTTCTGTTCTAAGCCATAGGCTTGTCTGAGTTCAGAAGTGCTCTCTCAGCATTTCTGAGTTCCCCTGAGGCTTAGGAATGCTAGAATGTTCACCTGATCTAAGCTGTCAATCTGACTTGTTCATTTAACTGAGTCAGCCATACCTACACAGTTTCTCTGGCCTCACACTGAGAAACTTGAAGTTTCCTCTGAATTCTACCCTGGAAAGGAAGACACAAGCAGTTTCTGCAACCTCCCACCCCCACCCCAAATCTATCAGGGGAGTCTCTATGAAAACTGCAACTCTCTTTTTCTGCTCCCAGAAACTTTACCCTGGATCAAGAAAACACACCTTACATCATCCTGCATCTGTCCCTAACCAATGGTTTATACTCTCCAGTCCTCCAGGTTTCTTGGCCTTTGATATTCAAAGCCAAGCATGTCCAGCTAAAACACAAAGAAAACAAATAAAACTTTTCACCTAAGTAGTGCTCCTACAAAAGTGCACTGGCTTTTAACCCCAACATGAAACCACTCCACTAAAAGTTATTTCTGCTGAGGATCATGTTGCTTAATCTAAGTCCTTCTCTCATTTGACTTCTCAGAGGCGTTTAACAGCTTTGCACTCCTCCTCTTCCATGAAGCTTCTATGTTCTCCTGGTTTTCAACTTGCCACTTTCAGGCTCCTTTGCTGGTCCGTCCTTCTCTTTCTAGCCTACGCAGGGATCTGTCTAAGGCCCAATGACCTTCTCACTCTGAAAACTCTCCTCAAGCAATCTCATACCTCCCCACTTCTAGATATTGATGCCTCCTAAACCCCCATCTCCATCTCAGCTCTTTCCAGGGCCCTACATCCATCTGCTCCTATACTGGCCACCCCAGTAGGTCACAGCCCATCTCAATAGAACAATGTTGAAACTAAACTCCTCCTACCCACGCTCCACCTCTGTATTACCCATCTCACACCACATGAAGAGGTACCCAGAAATATGAGCATCATCTTCTACACCTTCCTCATTCCTCACATTCAATTTCCCCATCTTGATTCTAGCTCCAAGGATCTGTCAAATCTGTCCACATGTCCTATGCCCTCTGGCACCATGAGCCCAGCCCATTTATCTGTGCCTTTATTACTGGAACAGACTCCTAATTTGGCTCCCTGCCTCTAGCCTGGCTTCCCTTCAACCCATTCTTTATGCTATAAGGAGTGACCTTTCTTAAATGCAAATCTAATTACACAGTTCCCAGCAGTATGTCCCCAACACTTCAGAATAAAATCCAAGCCCTTTGTTTCCTGAAGCAGAGATTACAGGTGTCGGAATTTTTTACGTTATTGTACAGTAAAATTCATTCTTTGTGGCATACAGTTCTATGAAGTTTGACATGTTTATATTTTGTGGCCACCACAGCTATCCATCACCCCCCCTCCAAAAAAAACCAAACTCCTTCATGCTCTTCCTTTATAGTCACACCCTCCCCATCCTTAGCCCCTCACAACCACCAATCTGTTCTCCATGGCTATAGGTTTGTCTTTTTTATGAGGGCGAGGGGAGAGTAATCTTTTGAAAAAGTAAAACAAATCCTAAGCCCCTTAAAGTGACTGTGTGAACTTCTCCTCCCTCACCTCCAACAACTGCCCCTCTCCCCTTGCAATTAGACAACTAGTCTCAGTTCTTGTGGAGCTCCAAGCTTTCCTTCAACTAGGCAACTTCCTCCCAGCTCTTTTGGAGAGGAGTCACACAGAGGTGTGCTCCACAGTGCCCAGCACTTCCTCCATCGTAACACTCTCACGCTGGTGCATTGGCCAGGTTGTCTCTTCCCACAGACAGTTCCTTCCGCACAGGGATCGTGCTTTAGGCACTGTTATATGCCCAGCTGTCCTGGATAAGCCAAGCCGCGCCACTCCCAATTCCTCAGAGCACCTGCACTTGTCCGACCGTGAAGCCTTTTCGAGGCCCGCACTGAAAGCCCAGGTTCCTAAGCAGAGAGAGCGCGCACCAGAACGGGGCAGGGCGTGGTCACCCCGCCCCCTGCTCACGGCCCAGGATGGGGCGGGGCTAGGCCGCTCGTGCTACCCTCCCCCAGCCCTGGCTGCGCTTGAGGGCTGGGGACAGCCGTTGTAGGGCCCCTAGGGCACTGAGACTTCCTTTTTTGGCCCTGAAATACCTGGCCTGGTGGGCCAGGACGTTTGAGTCGCCTGTCGGAGTGCTGCGGACGATGCCCATGAGGTCCTTAGTCCTTCTGGTTGAGCTCTTGCTATGGCCTTCGTTCCTGCCCGCGTATCCAAGTGAGTGGCCTAGCCTGAAGGAGCCACGACTGAGGGACACACCTGGGGGAACCACCAGCTCCGGGGCCTGCCGGAGTTGGGCTCTTCTTTGCCCTGGTCCCACACTCCTCCCAAACTCCACTGTACAGGGGCCTGGCCTTTGATGCCAAGGTGTGTCCCTCTTCTACTCGTGGCCTGCTTGTCTCCGACCTGCGCGCTGCGGGGCTCACTTGGCAACGCCACCACGGTCTAGGCATTGGGTCCCAGACTTGACATGGGATGCGCAGACTGAGTACATGGCGCTCGCGGGTATGACCTCTTTACCCCTCGGAGATGGCCCTTGATGTTAACGCTGCCCCCTTCTACAAGAATCCCTACAAACCTGATAACGCAGGCAGGGGTGGGCAAACTGCAGACAGCCGGCCAAGGTGGCTTGTTTTTGTATGGCTGGGGGCTAGAAATGGCGTTTACATTTTTAAATGTGAATGTGAAATGTGATCTTTAATGATAAGTGAAAAATTATGAAGTTCCAATTTCATTGTCCATAAAGTTTTATTGGAACACAGACACAGTCTGTTATGTATTGTCCATGGCTGCTTTCCCTTGTCATAGCAGCAGAGTTAAATAGTTGCCACAATGACAGTATGGCCTGCAAAGCCCAAAATATTTACTGTCTGGCCCTTTACAGAGAAAGTTTAACCTCTGTGGTGAAACGTGGAGAACATATGGACTGTGGGCAGCGGTCTGGGATACTCACTGACCCTCTGTGCACTCCTACAGAGCATTCTTGGGAGCACAGCATTAAAAGCCTTTGTTAAGCAGAATTATAACTTACGATTTGTCCCTCCCTAATAGCTGAAAACTAATAAGGTCAAATTCAGGGGCACTAAGACTACCACGTTAGCATCACGTGGACACCTTGAGGTATTTAAGTAGTTAAGTCCAGCATCTGATATCTGGTATTCCAGATATGAATTGTGGCTTGTTCATCTATTCTAACTGTAGTTCACTATAGCATTTTGTGATGTTGGGGTTTGGTTTAATCAAATAAAATTTATTAGGTAGGTGTAAAGGACTGAAGTGCATGTTTGCTATGCATGGCTACATTTCAGAATTGTTAAAAGATTGTAGTTAGAAATTATATTTTAAAAATGAAAATACAACTCAACCTAAATCATGAATAGCAGTGGCAAAAGTTCTGGATAAAGTGTCTTAGATAACTTTAGCCCATTAAATACTAGCACTTATGATTGTTATTTTAAACAAAAATCTTTGTATAAATGTCCTTTGCTGTAAAGGAACAGAAAATACTGAAGGTGCTATTTTTTCTTGATGTCTTAGGGTCATTATTACTAATATCAGTTATTTCATTTTGGTGGTTGTACATCAGTAGGTCACAACTGCCTAACATATAGGGAGAGCTTAGTTTAGGTGACATTAATACTGCCGTATAGTGCACTCTGGGACTGGTGAACAGCAGTCTCTGAATCACTTAATTCAAAGCATTTTCCTACATGCTAACTTTATAATGTCATGGCCCATTCTTTTTCTTTGAACCCTTTTCTCTAAACTTTCTTAAAGCTTATAGGAAATGAAAAGACATTTCTTAGAAAAAGGAATGGTTTTGTGTTGAAGATATAGATGACATACAATGAGACATGAGGAAAATATATACGGTCATAGATCATAGAAAATATTTTAGAAAATGTAATATACCCCTTATCTATACAAGTGGATAAAGGGATATGTAGGCAATGTTAACAAGGCTACTTTATCCATCTCTGTCTCTCTCATTCTTTTTCTCTAAGCAATTTTAATTTTGTTTATTTTTGAAATTAGTATACCAAAAGAAACCAGGTTTATCATTGTGCTTGATTTAAATCAGTTATATATTCTTTATTTTATATGGCCACTATTCCAACAATTTTCTGTGAGAGAATCATAGGAAAAAAGTTCCTCTCATGCTGAAGAAAAAGCACATGGGTTTTTCTTAAATAAAAGTGTAATTTTGACAATTTTTTGTAGAGTAATAAGGCAGTTTTGAGGTTGTTTTATACAAAAATCCTTGGTATTATATTAAGTAATTACATTTGTTGAAAACCTCAGTACTTCTGGTAACTGCTGATACCTTTTTGATAGGCCAACCCAAGTTTAGCTTGTACTTGTTTAATTTAAATTCAGCATGACAGGAATGAAACTTGGGTGTAGAGCAGTCTACATTTTCTACATACACATACATCCTGATGGCGCTGGATAAACATCTTCTAATTATATATTTAAATTCTAATTATACACACACACACACACACACTGTCTCACACACGTATCAATTAATGTCCTCACATCTGATTTTTTCATAATTTTAGTTTTAAACATTTTCCAATTTAAAAAATCATTCCTCTTTAATATCTGCACTGTACATCTTGCCTTTTTTAAGAGAATTATTTTTGTTGTTTAAAAAATTTATAACTTTCAAAGTAATATTAACATAATTGTTACATATTCAAGTACTATTAATTGATATTAAAATAAATTACATAATTTGTCTTATACAATTTGAAGTCACTAAATATTCATGGGCCTGCAGCTACAAACACAAGAATGTGAGACTTCCAGTCAAGATGGTGGAGCAGGTAAATGTGGTACTAACCTCCTCCCACGACCACATCAAAATTACAACTAAATTACAGAACCATCAGTCATAACTGCCTGAAATCTAGCTGAACAGAAGTTGAATAACTAAGGATATGAAAAAGAAACCACATTGAGACAGGTAGGAGGGGCTGAGATGCAGAATGGACTGGTCTCGCGCCCATGCATGAGGGTTAAAAATCAGGAGGTATATCTCAGCTGCAGAGGTACACCTGAGGGAGCAAGAGGTCCCAGCTCCACACTAGGCTCCCCAGCCCAGGTTTCCAGTGCTGGGAAGAGAAGTCCCCGTAACTCCTGGTTGTGAAAAAACCAGCAGGGATTGTGGCTGAGTGAGATGGAGGGCTTCTGGAGTCCCAGGTGTTCCTCTTAGTGCCCATGCACAGAACTTACTAAGACATACTCACTCGAGCTCCAACCCTGAGCCACCAGCTTGAAAGGTGCCAAGGATACACAGGGAGGAACTGAATTGCCTGGTTTTGGGGCGAGGGCTGGAGGGAAGCCATTGTTCCTTCATCGCTCCTTTCCCCTACAAGCTCGGGCAGATGCTGAATCTGAGTCTCCATCACTTGGCTAACACTGTTCATCCCACCCTGGTGATTCCCTGAGGCTCTACCCTTTGTGGGCCCACCCAAGTTGCACTTCCAATGGCTTTTCCACACAAACAGCCTTTCCTGAAAACTTTCCTAAAATCTCTCAAAGGTTCACAAACCCCAAACAAGCAGCATCTGGCCTCCACATGCACTGTACCTCCTACTAAGAGGCCGCAGGCCCATCCTCATTTCATAGCTTGGCCTTTCCCAGGCACCTCCAAACCCTGCCCAAGGAGTAGCTATTTGTAGAATGTTTTGTAGCTCCTGTTGGGTGGCCCCCGACAGGGGTACAGTTAAGTTTAGGATTGGCCCCCAGGAAGGCCCAGAGCCAGCGCAGTGGGTGGAAAGCTTCAGACCATACCGGAGTACCACCCAACCAACTTCACAAGTGACACAGTCAAGGGGCAGTCTTATCGGGCAAGAGAGCCTCTCCTCTGCTGGTCCTTGCAGCCAATTGGCCTAGGGGTAAATTCCTCTCATTGACATGCCAACAGCAATCAAGGCTCAGATACAACCAAAGGGTGTACACAGCCCACACAGGGGGCGCACCTGGAGCACCCAGTTCAAGTGACCAGGGAGGCTATGCAACTGGGCCCTACAGGACACCAGCTATATAAGACCATTCTACCAAAACTGGAAGATGTAACAACTCTACCTGATAGAAACAAATACAGACAGATAGCCAAAATGGGGAGACAAAGAAACATCTCCCAAATGAAAGAATAGGAGAAATATCCAGAAAAAGAATTAATGAAATGGAGGAAAGCAATCTACCAGATACAGAATTCAAAACAATCATTATAAGGATGCTCAAGGAACTTAACCTGGTGAAGAAAAAAGACATACAAGTCCAAGAAGTACAGAGAGTCCCAAACAAGCTGAACTCAGAAAGGCCCACACTGAGACACATAATAATTAAAATGCCAAATGTTACAGACAAAGAGAGAATATTAAAAGCAGCAAGGGAAAAGCAGAGAGTTACCTACAAAGGAGTTCCCATAATACTGTCAGGTAATTTCTCAAAAGAAACTTCACAGGCCAGAAGGGATTGGCATAAAATATTCAAAGTGATGAAAAGTATGGAACTACAACCAAGACTACTCTACCCAACAAGGCTATCATTTAAAAATTAGAGAAATAAAGAACTTCACAGACCAGAAAAAGTCAAAGCAGTTCATCACCAATAAATCAGTATTACAAGAAATGGTAAAGGGACTTCTTCAGGAAGGAAAAAAAGAGGAACATTATTATAAATAATAAAATGGCAATAAATATTACCTATCGATAATCACTTTAAATGTAAGTGGATTAAACGCTCCAATCAAAAGTCATAGGGTAACTGAATGATAAAGCAAACAAGACCCATTGATATGCTGTCTACAAGAGACCCACCTGAGATTAAACACATACAGACTGGAAGTACAGGGATGGAAAAAGATATTTTATGTAAACAGAAACAAACAAACCAATAAAACCCCCCAAAACCTGGGGCAGCAATACTTACATCAGACAAGATACTTTAAAACAAAGGCTATAACAAGAGACAAAAAAGGATGTTACATAATGATAAAGAGATCAATCCAGCAAAAGGATATATTACCCTTCTGAACATTTATGCACACAACATAGGAGCACCTAAATATATAACGCAAATATCGATGGACATAAAAGGAGAGATAGAGAGAAAATCAGTCATCAAAGGGGATTTTAATAGCCCATTGACATGAATAGACAGATCTTCCAGACAGAAAATAAAAAGGAAACAAGAGTCTTAAATGACACATTAGACATGATAGATTTAATTGAAATTTTTAGAGCATTTTACCCAATGCAGCAAATATGCATTCTTTTCAAGTGCACATGGAACAATTTTTAGGATAAACCACATGTCAGGACACAAAACAAATCTCAGTAAATTTAAGAGGATTGAAGCCATATCAACCACCTTCTCCAACCACAATGGTATGAAACTAGAAATCAATTACAAGAAAAAAAACTGAAAAACATACAAACACATGGAGACAAAATAACATGTTACTGAACAATGAATGGGCTACAATGAGATCAAGAAAGAAATCAAAAGATACCTTGAAACAAATGAAAATGAGAACACAACAACCTCAAATCTATGGGACACAGCTAAAACAGTCATAAGAGGGAAACTCATAACATTACAGTCCTACGTCAAGAAACAAGAAAAATCTCAAATAAATAATCTAACTTTACAGTTAAAGGAACTGGATGAAGAACAAAGCCCAAAGTGGTCAGGGCAGAAATAAACAATAGAGTCTAAAAAAATATATAAAAAATCAATGAAACCAATACCTTTTTTTTAAAGATAAGATTAATAAACCCTTAACCACCCTGATCAAGAAAAGGAAAGTGGAGGGTAGAGGTGAGGAGAGGTAGAAGGGGACATGGGGGCATAAACGGTGATGGAAGGAGACTTAACTTAGAGTGGTGAACAGACAATACAGATGATGGGCCATGGAATTGTACACCTGAAGCCTGTATAATTCTGTTAACCACTGTCACCCCAACACAATTCAATAAAAAGGGAGAAAAAAGAAAAAGAAAGAACCCAAATAAATAAAATAAAAAATGAAAGAGAATTAACAACTGACACCGCAGGAAAAAAAGGAATGAAATACTGATACATGCTACAATATACATGACCTTAAAAACATGCTAAGTGAAAGAAGCCAGTCACAAAAGAACACATATTGTGTGATTTCATTTATATGTAGTGTATTCAATAGGCAAATCCATAAAGATAGAAAGTAGATTAGTGGTTGCCTAGGCTGAGGGATGGGGAAATTTGGAATGAATTTATTTTGGGAGTGATGAAACTTTTAAAATTAGATTGTGGTGATAACTCTTCTTTAACAGAAGAGTTAGGAAGAGAGGTGAAACAATACATATAAAGCACTTTTGGAGTATTTTGTGCTTGCCTAACAGCTGAATAAAAATGCCTTTTGAACAGAAAGTTTGAGACTGTATTTCATTGTGCCTGCAGAGGGAGAGTTCCGGTAATTATGCATTAGAGTTTGGTAAAAAGTGATCTACTTCCTTGAATTAAATCAATTTGTATCTTTGATAGCAGCACAAGCTATTCAAAATTACATGCAATACAAAATTCCAACATTAAAATTAAAAACTCTTGACTAGGAGTAGGGAAGTTGAGCAGAGTTTTAGAATATCTTATTCAGTAGTCTTTTTTGTTGGCATTGTTTTCCACATTGGAAATGAGAGGCTTCATCACTCAAATGCTGCAAAATACCAATGTAAATAGAACTGTCATTATTGTTGTAAGAGTGAAATATTGAGGCTTTAGACAGGAATCTGCAAGATTTTCTGCAAAGGGCCAGATAGTATTTTCAGCTTCTAAAGTCATGTGGTCTCTGTTGCAACTACTCAACTCTGCTGTTGCAGCCAAAAGCAGCTATAGACAATACATAAACAAAGAGGCAAGACTTACTGATTCCAATAAAACTTCATATACAAAAACAGTTGGGTGGAAATGACCCACAGGCTGTACTTAGATCTTCACTGGGCTGAAGGCAATGGTATATTGGTAACTGTTTAACTCGTTTTTTGGAAAGAATAAGCCCTGACTTTTAACATTTGCCCTATCGTGGGTGATTGCAAGCTACCTACTTGACATCACTGAACAGGGATGTAGAAAGAGATATACAGTAGCATACCATTGCACAGCATTTCTACCATACAGATACCCTAGATGTATATAACCTCAAGAACATAGATAATAGTAAAATAAAATACAAGAAAGTGAAGAGGTTTGAATATTTATTACATTTATTTTTTTTAAAAGATATTATTTATTTTCTATTTTTAGAGGGAAGAGAAGGGAGGGAGAAAGAGAGGGAGAGAAATATCAGTGTGCCGGACAAACATCAATTAGTTGCCTTTCACATGATCTGGCCCGCAACCCAAGCATTTGCCCTGGCAGGGAATGGAACCAATGTCCTTTCTGTTTGCAGGCCAGCACTCAGTTCACTGAGCCACACCAGCCAGGGCTTATTTACTTTTACTTTTAATATGATTTATTTAAATGCAAATTCAGACAGTTTGATTTTTAATGATGTTTCTGTTTAATATCTGGCTTACAAAATTCCTAAAAAATTTAACAATTGGCTCTGGTAAGTAAGTATGAACCTATTCCAGCACACCAGTGTACTGGAAGACATAATCAAGAATTTTGTTTTAAAAAGTTACTTACTGAATTGTATGTTGTATTGGAAAGTAAAAGCAAAAAGATAGAATTGTGTTAATATGCAACTTTTACACTAATCTTGCACATCTGTTTTAATAAGAATCTGAAAAACAATTTTGTTCAAGTGAGAGTTGACTGTCAGATATGCTTTACTTCTTGGTTCTTTACCTTAACTTTTTTTTATCATCAGCTGAGGATATGTGTATTGATTTTAGAGAGAGCAGAAAGAAGCGGGGTGGGGGGAGAGAGAGAGAGAAGTATCAATGTGATATAGAAACACCGATTGGTTGCCTCCTGTACAGGCCCAGACCAAGGATCCAACCTGCAACCTAGGTAAGTGCCGTGACCAGGAATCAAACCCGCAACCTTCATGTGTATGAGACGATGCTCCAACCAACTAAGCCATTCAGCCAGAGCTTTACCTTAACTTTTAAGTGATATCACATGAAATAAATTTGGGTATATATTGCCAGTATGTCATATATCATAATAAATGTTACTTATTGTTTGATTTTTTTCCCTTAAGGCACAACCGTGACACCTGATGAAGAAAAAAATGTGAATCATTATGTACAAGTTTTACAGAACCTACTACTAAGTGTTCCCACTAGGGAGCCATCCCATGAGAAAAAATCAGGATCTCCAAATAATGTTTACTCTATGAGACCGAAGGCATCAAAACTTAAGGAGATAATTACACATGACAAAGCTTCAACTGAGAATGTTGTAACCAGCCCTGTGACTGATAAAATTACAACTTTGCCGACTAGAAGCTTCTCACTGGAACAAAGGAGGAAAAAAAATACTAAAAGTACAGCATTCTGGTCAATTAAACCAAACAATGTTTCTGTTGTTTTGCGTGCAAAAGAACCTTATATTGAAAAAGAAGAGCCAGAGCCAGAGCCAGATGTAAAACAAACTGAGGCACCGATGTTATGGCCGTATGTTACTGAATCACCTACAAGTTCTTCAAGCCGGAGCACTGACTGGGACACCTCTGCTGAAGCAGAAGATGTTCCTCAGCTCTTGGGAGAATATGAAACACAAGCATTTGAAAACCACCCACAAAGGTCAAGTAATGAAGAAATTTTGAAAAAAATTTCAGATATTAGCTTGAAAGTGCATCAGGTACCTCTTGCTGAGAGCCTCAACCCAGAATATAGAGAGGACATTGAAGCCGTTAGAGAGCACCTAAAACGAAGCCTTGCTGTAGCGGCAGCAGCAGAACACAGATTAAACAAGATGTATAGATCCCAGGTATTACCACTAGGGCAAAACAGTTTAGGAATTGATGACGTTGAAACTGTTATTAACATGCTGTATAATTCTAGATCAAAGTTATCTCAATATTTAGATACCAGATATGTTCCATCAGAGATGAGAGAAAAAGCTATTACAGTGATCAGTACATTGAAAAAAATATTATGTGTAAGTCGACTAGAAGTTCAAAACCTTATTAGGAAGTTATTAAACAATAATATAAAAATTTTAAATCTACTTGATGTTCCATGACAAAGGTGACTTAGGAAAACTCGGTATGCATCCAGAGGAGAGATAAGCATATTAGTGATTCAAAAGCTGTATAAAAATATTTTCCATTGTTTTCAATGTGCTAACATCTTCACGTCATGTATTATGAAAATTTTTCATAGGCACTAATATGCCTTATAATTTAAAATAAAATTTTGGTTCAGGAGTTTGTAGTTTTCTTTCATCAATTAATTTTAAAAGTTATGAAAGTCTAATCTTTAAAATGTCTAAGCTTCAATTTTACTTGAATAAATTAGTTAAATTCATCCATTTTATGAGTTAAGAGACTGTGCAATCTGTACATGTAGCTTGTTTTAAATGATTGCATATAAATGTCAATTTTTAGGGTATTCGGTATTTATTACTCTTATAGAGAATCTGAATTTTCTGTCTGAATAGCATAGAAAAGTAGAGCTTGTATCAAAACTTCTTTTATTTGGATATATGTTTGCCTTTTTTGAAAGATGGATGATATATCAAGATACCCCTTTTCCTTTGTTGTTAAGTATTTTTGGACTATCAGTGAGGGACTGTAACCTGGACTGGTAGTAATGTCATCCTGACTTATTTCTTCTTTTTCTTTGTTTATATACGTGTACATTGAAGCTTCGCAAATCTTTGATTTGGGAGTATGACTAACATCATTAATGTTAACTATGTAATACTGTAATTATGGTGGAGGTAAGCCTGTTTCATGATTTGACTAGTATTATATTTCAAGTTATTTATTCATTCATCAAGCCAGTCATCTATAGTTTAATAAAGATATATTGATTGACCTTTTACTATGTGCAGGACAAAATGGTAGGCTTTGGTAATACAATGATAAGGTCTAGTTTCTTCTCTCTCTAAGGTTATATTATAGCAGGAAAGACAGACACTAGACAAATAACTTTAGCAATATTTAAATTTCAGTTGTGACAAGTTGTTATGAAGGTGCGAGAAATTTGACCTCACCTAGACCAAGAATAATGGGAAGGCAACCCTGAGAAGGTAGCGTTTAAGTGAGAGCTGAAGGATGAAGGTGTGTGTAAGGGGCAGGGGGCGTTCCAGGCAGAGAGAACAACATGGGATGCTGCATGAATGCAGTATGAATGCTCTGAGTTGAGAATGAGTGTAGCAAGTTGAAGAAATAGCTAGACTATGTAGAAGGCAAGGGAGTGCATCTCAAGAGGGAGCTGGTGGGGTACAGGAGGTCGGAAAGGCCTTAAATTGCATATTGAAGATTTTAGCTTTTATTTTACAGTCAATAAGAAGTCATTCGTGGGTTTTGAGCAAAGGATGGATATGATGGGTATGATTAAGTGGTTTTCTTTAAAAAAAGAAAAATACCAGCCTGGCTACAGTTTTGGAGGAAGGTAACAATAAAAGTATACTATAAACAGGCCAAATGTAGCTTGGAGAATAGATGGAAGGAAGTGACAATTAAGAGGTAGATCAGTAGACTTTGGTGATTGAATGGATGTAAGGGGACTGAGGGAGTAGCAGGGATCAAAAATAATTTCCACTCAATTAGCTATATTATTAAAAGGACTGCATAGATTTTATTTTGTTATAGTACTCTACTATTTACTGTTCTTGCTTATTTTTAAAAGTAATTTTACTATGGAAAATTTCATACATGTGCAAAAGTTAACAGATTAATACAATAAACCCATGTACCCATTATCCACTTTCAACCATTACCTACTAATGACCAGATTTGTTTCACCTAAGCCCCTACCTTTTTCCCTCTTTCCTACTTTATGTTGAAATAAATCACTGATAGTTTTTTATTTCATCTGTAAATATAACAGTGTGAAGCTCTAAAGCCTTATTAAAACGACTACTACAACATCATCACACATCAAAATTTAATAATTCTTTAATATAATAAACCATACAGTTGATGTTAACATTTCCGATTGTCTAATAATTTTTTAAATATAAAATTTGTATGAATCAAGATCCAAATAAAGTTCACATACTGAGATTGGTTGATTTGGCTCATAGGTCTCTTTTCATCTTAAGATTTTCTTCCATCTCTTTTTTTTTCCTTGAAATTTATTTATTAAAGAAATTTGTCATTTGGCCTATGGTTTTACACAATATAGATTTTGCTGATTGTATCCTCGCAGTGCCATTTAGTATACGTTTCTCTGCCCCCTGTATTTTCTGTAAATTAGTGGTTGGATCTAAAGACTTAATCAGACTCAGGTTTGTCTTTTTTTCTTTTCTTTTTCTTTTTTTTGGGGAGGAGGGATCAAGGTGGTGGTGTATTTTACCATTTGGTTGTGTCTCCTTTTGTAATTTTAGCAGGCTTTGATGATCATTACGTAGACAAATTGAGTGGTCAGGTATTGCAAAATGGAAATAGCATTCCTTCCTTTATTAGCTGGAATATGTTTATAAAGAGAAATTTCCTCTCTTTGATTCGGTTTTTCAGTAGTCCAATGTGTATTGGAAAGACATCAAATGCTTGAATCCTCCTTCTGTTTAACAATTTTCAAAATAGTTCATAGAATCCTCCAATTGTGACTATTTTTAAAAAATTAGATCTTTGTTCTTTCAAATAGTTGTAAGCTTAAAGAAAAATTGATCAGAGAGTATAGAGTTCCCACATACTTTCACTTCCTCCCCCACAGTTTCCTCTATTGTTTACATTTTATATTGGTGTGGAACATTTGTTATAACGGATGAACCAATACCAATACATTATTATTAACTGAAGTCCTTTGTTTACATTAAGGTTTACTCTTCGTGTTTATGGTTTTTGACAAATGCATAATGACGTGTATCCACCATGACAGTATCATACACAATAGTTTCACTCCTAAAAATCCCCTGTGCCCCACTTATTCATCTTGTCCTCTTCTTACCCCATGCTTCTAACCCCTGGCGACACTGATATTTTTACAGTCTCTATACTTTTGCCTTTTCCAGAATGTTATACAGCATAGGTAGAAGCAGATAGTGTATAGACTTTTCAAATTGGCTTATTTCACTTAGCAATATGTATTTAAGATCCTTCCATGTCTTCTCATGGCCAGATAGCTCATTTCTTTTAGTGCTAAATAGTATTATATTGTATAGATATACTACAATTTATCCAATTTATTGAAGAACATCTTGGTTGCTTCCAAGGTTTGGTATTTATGAATAAAGTTTCTGTACTGGTTTTTGTGTAGACATGAACTTTCAATTGTGCCAGTTTTTTCACACTTTTGAACATGCAATATTTTAGCAAATTTTTACATTTTGGCTAATATGATAGATGAAAAGCACTATTTAGTTATTGTTTTCATATATGATTCTTTAATTATAAGTGAAGTTGGACTTCTTTTCACATTTTTATCTGTAAATGGTCTGTTCATGTTTAGTTCTCTTTTAGTTTGCTTTTTATTAGTGACATAACCTTTTTATATAATGAAGATTTGGCATTTTGTATTATATTTTTACAAATATTAGGTCCAGTTTATTATTTGCCTTTTGACTTTTCCAGATAGAAATTTAAAATATTTATAAATCAAATTTATTTCTTTGGGGGCCTTTATGTTTTGTGTCCTGTCTTCCCCACTCAGGTTTTACAATATTGCCATTTTATTCTAGTGTTTGGTTTTATATATATATATATTTTTTTTTTTAAACCACTTTATTTTTTAGAGCAGTTTTAGGCAAAGTAAGCAGAAGGAACAGAGATTTCCTATCTACACCCTACACCCCCATCTGCAAAGCCTCCCCCATTATCAGTGTCCCCACCAGAGTGGTACATTTGTTACAACTAATGAACCTAAATTGACACATCATTATAATCCAAAGTCCACAGTTTACATTAGGGTTCACTTTGGTGTTGTACATCCTGTGGGTTTGGACAAGTGTATAATTATGTGTATCCACCATTATGGTATCACTGACCTAAAACTCCTTCGTGCTCTGCTTAGTAATCCCTCCTCCCCCCGCCCCCCCCACCAACACCTGGCAGCCGCTAGTCTTTTTACTGCTTTCATAGTTTTGCCCTTTCCAGAATGTCATATAGTTGGAATCGTATAGTATACAGCCTTTTCACATTGGCTTTTGTCACTTAGAAATATGCATGTAAGTTTCTTTCATGTCTTTTCATGGCTTGATAGCTCATTTAGTTTTAGCTCTGAATAATACTCCATTGTGGGAAGGTACCATAGTTCATTTAGCCATTTATTCATTAAATATTATTTTGGTTTCTTTTAAGTTTGGGCAATTATTGACATAGCTTCTAGAAAAAATCCATGTGCAGGTGTTTATGTGCAGGAACATAAGCTTTCCATTTCTTTGGGTAAATACTGTGAACCATGGTGGGGAGGGGTGGTGGGGAGGGCTTGTGGGGAAAGAAACCTACTAAGAAAGGCTCCTATTGCCTCACTGGGCTCAATTAAAAAACAAAAACAAAAACAAAAAGACAAGAAAACAGAGCCTAGCAGCCATTTCTGCACAGGGGATCTCACACAAACTGCACTTCAGGGAAAAGCCAGCACTGAACTGCCTGCCAGTACTGTGTTTCTGCCACCTGAGACAGCCCTAATTAAGGAGTTCCCGGAATCCTATTTGAACCAATAGGACTGAGCCTTTCCCCATCCAATCAGAGCTGTGCCACTCAGGCCAATCAGAGCTGCTCTATTCTGACCAATCAGGACAGTGCCTTTTGGACCAGTCAACCTGCAAGGATTTGGATTCCTTATATGTATGAGGACAGACCATTCATGGACAAGGACAGGGACTCCTGTTCATGTAAGGTCAGAGAGCATGTTTTCCCTTTCCACGGAAAACTGAGGATTGTGGCACCTTGTAAACTGAAACAGGGACAATGTCTTGGCAGGGCAGACCATTGAAATGCAAAAGTGGAAACAACTGTAATAGCATGAAAAATAATAAATAAATAAAATAAGGTGCTAAACTCCAAGGGAAAAAAAAAAAAAAAACAGAGCAGAGCTGTCTACCTGGAGAGGGGCCTGGCCCCAGAGCTATTC